AGGCTGTGGTGTGGGTAGCCGAAATAAAGCTTTAGTCCTTTATTTCGTCTGTGGGGGGAAAGTTTATTCTCTTTCAATAGAGAATAGTTATGTAAGTCATGGTTTTAATTATTTTAGTTCAGTTACTTTATTTATGTTTATATTAATATTTAATTTGAATGTCAACCCTTAAATAAAAATTCACCATTGTCTTACAGCATTTGAATTATATCTGGTGTTGTGTGATTAACTTATTATTGGTTAATTCAAAATGAGCTGCATCTCTATAATATGTATATAGAGAAAGATTTTCCGTAAGAAAAGCTTTTATTTTAAAGAATGGGCCAGCTAGGCAGGAAGATGGTTGGTAGGTTGATATTGAGGCAAGTGGCTATGGGCTTGGGTACACTGTCAAGCTAGAGATACTTAGGATTAGTGCATTGGGCATTCCCTGATTCTCATACAGCGTGAGTTCAGATCCCCATAGGAAAGCATTTAGAAACGCATGCGCATTTGGCTCCACTCGGGAGCTGACGTCGGCAGGGGGAAGAGGTTTTAACCCCTTTAACCCAGTTGGAGGGGGGCCACGAGGGAGGGGACCTATTAAACCTATAGTTTTCCTGGCACTATATTGTTCCTTTAAATGTTTCTGCTCCAATTAAATTTGTCTGACATGACTTTCTAATTATGTCAGCTAGCAAATAATATTTTGACATAAAAAGTAGCAACATGAATTGTTTTGGTGAGACCAAGTAGTAAACTGACCGTATTGCAATCAATATAAAGTCACAAAATGCTGAAACTAATTACCTTTAAAGTGCTCAAAATGATATACTTTTTATCTTAAACATGTCTTTGCAAATTCCACAAAATATTAATTTAAAACTCTAAGGTATAAACCCTTGATTGATAAACAAGGTTTAACATTTTAAAACTAAATATATTTATTTAATCATAAATTTAGTTCTACTTACTTTTCCTAGAAAGGAACTATAACTACATGTGCTGATTTGTATACTATTCATATCATGAAGAGTGGAACAATTACAGATATAGCATGATTTTTGTCTGGGTATTTATTTAATGTTGCCTCCTGATCCCCATTAATTCGCTTGGCATGCTTCAAAAAGAGACGCAGAAGCTTTACAAAATACAGAATAAGTGTCCGTGATTGATTTTTTTTCATTCTTTTTTCTCCACATTACAATCTAATTAAACCAGATCAACTGGTTAAAGAGGAAGGACATCTTGCCAAAAATTAATCTAGGAAATAAGCAATCCAAATGGCTCTTTGCCATAGAATATAATGTGTAAGATAATCTTACAAGAACGTTCAAAGTCTTCCGCTTGTACTAATATGCATTCTCTTTTGATTTTTGAGATGTCTCCGTAGTCTGACATGTGAACTGGGTTAACCTTGCTAAAATATCTACAATGTTTTAATAGTCGGAAAAAAAACCCAAAAAAAGAGGTGGTCAGGCTAAAATGACCCTGTAGCACAAATAAAAAATATTCTATTCTTGAATAAATACCAATGCAAACCATTGATTACATGTATTTGGTATATGTATCTGCATAAAGCATTGTTGTTCGCTATTATGCAAATTTATCTTGCAATTTAATTACACTGTTGATCATTAAATAAGCTTACCTGTTCAACACTCATATCCAAACATACCCTTTGCTTATCTTGTCTGGAAATCTCCCACACTGGGGAAGAAAGATACTGGAACTCTCTGGTTCATTTGCAGTTGACTTCCAAGTGTAATTCATTCACTTACTAAGCTGTCAAGTATGTCAACTAGTTAGTTTATAACTGTAAAAGCCAACAGACTCAATTCAGTTATGACCTCCCATGCATACAGAAAAATATTTTCTGGCATGGTGTTGAGTTAACATGTCCATGTAATCTTCAATATGTGGAATGGATGCAGACCACTATACCAACAGATTAGAAAACATTTTTATAATATTAAAATAGATTTTAGCAATCATTGTGTATATGAATGTCTTATATTATATCTTAACGGAGACCCTAAGTGGCTTAGGTTTAGGCATTAAGAAGGTTACGACAAATTGGAGGGGTGCTTATTTCCTAGATTAATTGTTGGCAAGATGTTCTTCCTCTTTAACCAGTTGATCTGGTTTAATTAGATTGTAATGTGGAGAAAATAGAAGAATAAAAATCAATCACGGACACTTATTCTGTATTTTGTAAAGCTTCTGCGTCTCTTTTTGAAGCATGCCAAGCGACTTAATGGGGAACAGGAGGAAACATTAAATAAATAACCAGACAAAAATCATGCTATCTCTGTAATTGTTCCACTCTTCATGATATGAGTAGTATACACATCAGCACATGTAGTTATACAGGGAGTGCAGAATTATTAGGCAAGTTGTATTTTTGAGGATTAATTTTATTATTGAACAACAACCATGTTCTCAATGAACCCAAAAAACTAATTAATATGAAAGCTGAATATTTTTGGAAGTAGTTTTTAGTTTGTTTTTAGTTATAGCTATGTTAGGGGATATCTGTGTGTGCAGGTGACTATTACTGTGCATAATTATTAGGCAACTTAACAAAAAACAAATATATACCCATTTCAATTATTTATTATTACCAGTGAAACCAATATAACATCTCAACATTCACAAATATACATTTCTGACATTCAAAAACAAAACAAAAACAAATCAGTGACCAATATAGCCACCTTTCTTTGCAAGGACACTCAAAAGCCTGCCATCCATGGATTCTGTCAGTGTTTTGATCTGTTCACCATCAACATTGCGTGCAGCAGCAACCACAGCCTCCCAGACACTGTTCAGAGAGGTGTACTGTTTTCCCTCCTTGTAAATCTCACATTTGATGATGGACCACAGGTTCTCAATGGGGTTCAGATCAGGTGAACAAGGAGGCCATGTCATTAGATTTTCTTCTTTTATACCCTTTCTTGCCAGCCACGCTGTGGAGTACTTGGACGCGTGTGATGGAGCATTGTCCTGCATGAAAATCATGTTTTTCTTGAAGGATGCAGACTTCTTCCTGTACCACTGCTTGAAGAAGGTGTCTTCCAGGAACTGGCAGTAGGACTGGGAGTTGAGCTTGACTCCATCCTCAACCCGAAAAGGCCCCACATGCTCATCTTTGATGATACCAGCCCAAACCAGTACTCCACCTCCACCTTGCTGGCGTCTGAGTCGGACTGGAGCTCTCTGCCCTTTACCAATCCAGCCACGGGCCCATCCATCTGGCCCATCAAGACTCACTCTCATTTCATCAGTCCATAAAACCTTAGAAAAATCAGTCTTGAGATATTTCTTGGCCCAGTCTTGACGTTTCAGCTTGTGTGTCTTGTTCAGTGGTGGTCGTCTTTCAGCCTTTCTTACCTTGGCCATGTCTCTGAGTATTGCACACCTTGTGCTTTTGGGCACTCCAGTGATGTTGCAGCTCTGAAATATGGCCAAACTGGTGGCAAGTGGCATCGTGGCAGCTGCACGCTTGACTTTTCTCAGTTCATGGGCAGTTATTTTGCGCCTTGGTTTTTCCACACGCTTCTTGCGACCCTGTTGACTATTTTGAATGAAACGCTTGATTGTTCGATGATCACGCTTCAGAAGCTTTGCAATTTTAAGAGTGCTGCATCCCTCTGCAAGATATCTCACTATTTTTGACTTTTCTGAGCCTGTCAAGTCCTTCTTTTGACCCATTTTGCCAAAGGAAAGGAAGTTGCCTAATAATTATGCACACCTGATATAGGGTGTTGATGTCATTAGACCACACCCCTTCTCATTACAGAGATGCACATCACCTAATATGCTTAATTGGTAGTAGGCTTTCGAGCCTATACACCTTGGAGTAAGACAACATGCATAAAGAGGATGATGTGGTCAAAATACTCATTTGCCTAATAATTCTGCATTCCCTGTAGTTCCTTTCTAGGAAAAGTAAGGAAGTAAAACTAAATTCATGATTAAATAAATATATTTAGTTTTAAAATGTTGACCCTTGTTTATCAATCAAGGGTTTTCACCTTAGTGTTTTAAATTAATATTTAGTGAAATTTGCAAAGGCATGTTTTAGATAAAAAGTATATATGGACACGTTAAAGGTAATTTGTTTCAGCATTTTTTGACTTTATATTGATTGTAATACGGTCAGTGATTTTTTTTAAAAGTAATTTGACAATAAAAAACAAGGTGAGTATTTTAATTAAACATATATACACCAAAGGGTTGCTTGTTTTTTTGCAGGTTGTAACAAAGTTTCCTGTAATTTTCTATATTTTATTTTTTATTGTTTAATCATTTTTTTTAAAGCTGTGTTTTAATCCACTCCTTTCTTTTTATTGTTTTTGTTACATTTTCCTCATTGTTTGCCTATTTTAATTTACGTTAGATTTTAAAATGTGTATATTTCTTATTCTTCTTTTGTATCAGATGTAAAAAATGTTTGTATTTATAACATATGTTTCACTTGAGGCATTCTCTGTGTGTTATTCAACCTGATTGATATTTTTGTTTTAAGGTAATTTCTGTTTTTTCATTGTAGAAATATGTCTGATATATAACATTTGCAACAATAACAACTTTTCAGTTGTAATATTCACTAATTTCAGTATTAATGACAAATGTTTCTTTTGTGACATTATCCATGCTGTAGAAATGCAGTAGTGTAGCAGTGATGAGTTGACCAACTGGAAGAACCTTACAAAGGGATATCTAACCAAGATCTACAGAGAATGAGCTATAACTATAAGTAGCTCAAGAATATGTTAGGTGAATACTTGAAAGTACCTGTATGGTTGGGGGCAGGGCCTGACTGTCATGGAGGAGAGATGTGCCTGTCTTGAGCTCCTTACTAATCCTGATATTTACAGTTCTTTTTGGCCACACACAGCTCGAATTGAGTGGAATCCAACGACTTAATAGACCCTTAAGGCACACGGTACTCTATGCAGTGCTCCACAACTCGACAAGCACCTACTTGCTACATACCCGAGAACATTTAGCCTGGCATGCGCTGGGCACGGGAGGCGGCCGCTCTCCATGCCAACATAGCATGGCTGCCCTGTCACCCCCCTCCCCTCTGGACTCGTGGGGGTCATCCCAGTCCATCCCTGGGAGGAATCCCTTATCCCACAACACCAAGGGACATTTCCACAAAGAATGCTGGAACTTCTGGCAACTCTAACAAGATAGCAGAAGGCACGCAAAGTCCCAGAACCACCAAAACAAACCAACATATCTTGTCCAATGGAGACAGAATCTTTGAAGACTTTTGGCAACGTCTAGAAAGCAGAATGCATCACCCTAGCCTGCGAGAGTCGGCTGAACGCATACTTTAGCAAATCATTACCCAGCAACTGCAGCCCACACCTCTGGCAGCAAACAGGGCCCCAAAATGGAGGAAGGGCAAGAAGCACCCGTTGCGGCTACACACGATGACACACAAACATTAGCAGCCTGTGATTTATGCCTGATCCCTCCAGGGATGTCAAAGTGTGAGTGGCACACAATTCACTAATATTCGGTGAGTTTAATGCTACAAATGGTTTATCTTTATATACTTACTGCACAGATGGACTGTGTTCTATTTGCATAGCTTCAGCCCTACGTAATGCATCCTGTAAGATACTAAGTAGACCATTAGGAATAAATACCATATACAGTTGTGCTCAAAAGTTTGCACACCCTTGGGTAATTGGTAATATATGTACCATTTTTAAAGAAAACCTGAGTGAGCAGGCTAAACATATTTCTTTTATTTCTTATGGGATTCATATTCAACTGTAGGTTATAACAGAATGGCACAATCATAAAACAAAACATGGCAACAAAGGAAAAAATGAAATGGCCCCCATTTAAAAGTCTGCATACCCTTAGTTCTTAATACTGTGTTTTGCCCCCTTTAGCATCAATGACAGAGTGCAGTCTTTTGTAATAGTTGTCTATGACGCCCCTAATTCTTTCAGTGGTATAGCTGCCAATTCGGCTTGGCAAGATGCCTCCAGGCCATGCAAAGTCTTTGGTTGTCTTTGAACTGCACGTTTGAGATCCCCCCCCAGAGTGTCTCGATGATATTAAGGTCAGGAGACTGTGATGGCCACAGAGAACATTCACCTTTTTCTGCTGTAACCACTGGAGGGTCAACTTGGCCTTGTGCTTAGAGTCATGCTGGAAAATTTAAGAGCATCCCATGCGCATCTTTCGTGCAGAAAAATGCAAATTGTCTACCAATATTGTGTGATAACATGCTGCATTCATCTTGCAATCAATGTTTACAAGATTCCCTGTGCCTTTAGAACTTACCCTTCCACTACCCCCTTCCTCCCCTGAAATATTAGTGAACCACCACTATGCTTCATAGTGGGGATTGTATTCTTTTAACTATAGGCCTTGTTGACCCCTCTTAAAATATAACGCTTATGGTTCTGACCATAAAGCTCTATTTGGGTCTCATCACTCCAAATTACAATGGCCAGAAGCTGTGAGGTGTGTCAAGGTGTCGTTGGGCATATTTTAACCGGGCTTTTTTGTGGCATTGGTGCAGTAAAGACTTCTTTCTGGCATCTCGACCAAGCAGCTAATTTTTGTTCAAGTATTGTCATATTGTGCTCCTTGAATCAACCACACCATCTTTTTTCCAGAGCAGCCTGTATATCTCCTGAGATTACCTGTGGATTTTTCTTTGTATCCCGAACAATTGTTCTAGCAGTTTTGGCTGAAATCTTTGTTGGTCTACCTGATCTTGGCTTGGTATCAAGAGATCCCTGAACTTTCTACTTCTTAAGTGATTGAACAGTACTGACTGGCATTTTCAAGGCTTTGGATATCTTTTTATATCCTTTTCTATCTTTATAAAGTACCATTACTTTGTTACGCAGGTCTTTTGACAGTTCTTTTCTGTTATCGATGGCTCAGTATCTAGCCTGCTCGGTTCATCCACTTGAGAGCTAACAAACTCATTGACTATTTACACACAAACACTAATTGCAATTTAAAAAGCCGCATGTGTAGGAAATTTACCTTTAATTGCCAGTTTACCTGCCATTTTAATCACTTTGTGTGTCTGTAACAAGGCCAAACATTCAAGGTATGTAAACTTTTGATCAAGGTCATTTGGGTAATTTCTCTTATCATTATGATTTTAAAAGGAGCCAAACAACTATGTGATAATCAATGGCTTCATATGATTAATATCCTTCAATAAAAGACATTGTTTTGCATGATCAGTCATATTTTCAAAATCAATGCCAACATTTCACAATTACTGCCAGGGTATGCAAACTTTTGAGCACAACTGATCATAGATGGTATGTTCTTCTGCATTTACTGTCCCTCTATTCTAATATAACCTGACCTGTAAATTGCTAAGTAGACCATTAGCTTGATATAACATATACATACACTACTGAGGTTATTTACTAAATAGAGAATTCAAAGTGAATTTCAAATTGAAGGACAAAATAGCTAAACTGGAAATGAGATTCTTTTCCAGTTTAGCTATTTTGTCCTTCAATTTGAAATGCAGTTTGGCTGCTTTGTCATCACAATTTAAATTTAGTTTGAATTCTCACTTTTGTGAATAGCTCAGTGTATGTGTGCTAGACTTGTGCAAAAAATAATTGTGGGCAATTTTCACGAATTGAAATAATTTTAATCTAAGTCTGAATTAATCCGTTTGTCTGAGTTTTGTACAGGTTATCTTCAATGACTAAGATTCCACAGGTAAATCCCAGACAAATCGATTTGTTTTGGTGAGATAAAAAAGGATATTGATTCAGACAAACTGGTTGAAACAAATTTTTTGAACAAGTCTAACAAGTACAACATCATTTGCTGAACTTCTGCTCTACTGTAATGCAAGCTGTAAAGTTTCAAGTACACAGTTATCTTTACAGAAAATATATACACTCTATAACTGCTGTATGTATTATTCCTTTGCTCTCATCCAGTGTAACCTGTAAAACACTAAGTACACCATTAGCATTACCCATATATATGCATATGTACTCTAAAACTACTACATTAACTGTACATTATCTCTACTGTAATTCAACCTATAAAGTACACGTGTCAGTGCTTTTTAATTAAAAACATACATGTATCGTTTACTAAGCAGGGCTAGAAAACACATACACAGAACAAATTTACTGCTTTATGGATGTATGAAGTATATGACAATTCTAATAAAATAAATGAAAGCAAAATAATTTAAATAATGTCTTAATATGTCCAGTGTTCCATCAATTCCTATACGTGTTGCCAAGATTATTTGGCACTGTGTTCCTTGTGAGGATTCAATGGTTCTAGTGCTTACAGCCCTATCCAAAGCTTTAAATTATTATTTTATGTTTAACAAAATAAGGTGTATGTATGGTAAATAAGTTAAAAATTGATGTCAGTTTGTTAAAAAGTTTGCAAAGTAAAATGAAATGTGGATAGGACATTATGTTCCAAAACATTGAATTTATATGGTGCAGATGAAAAACTATTTCTGCTGTGATTTAATTATTTCTATCATGCAAATTTAATCCTACACACTAAAGGAGCAACACTTTTCCTTTCTTGGTCCGACGCTATGTAGACCTGAATGTCCAACATATTGAAGCTGCCCAATAATTCGTAATGGTTTGGCAAACCTAAATATTTTTCATATAATAAAACAAATATCATAATAATTTACACATGGTTTTGTAAGTTCATGTTACCAGTTGTGCTCTGAGGTACAAGACCTTTTGTAGAAAATTTTAATTTAACAATATTTGTAACATAAAACAAACTCAGAAAAATCCACATATTGCTTTCTTGTTTTTTTAAGATATGGTTTCAGGAGAGAAGTGAAAAAAAAAATGATGTCATGTGTTTCTCTCATCCTGGGGCCATTCATAGACAGCAATCACTGCATATGATGTTAAGACAACTCAGGGCTGTTCCAAAATGTATAAAAATGATTTATTGTCTATTATTCTCAATTTATGCAGTCTAAGCAGCAATACTCATATTAATCAAATCCAGTCATTATTAACCATTGTGCCAGAAGTCAGAGTTGTTCCTCCATGCCACTTTTATTGCATCAAACTAGTTGGAAAAGAGACATATTATTAGAAAGTCATGGGGAGGGTCAGCAACATTTGTCATGGAGGGCAATTTTATATCAACTGCCTCTTTTCTCCTAAACCCCACAGATCCCATTGTAGATGGTCCTATTCACAGTGCATGCAATGTTTGGGTTTGACAAATTCAGGCTGCTGTAGGTGCGAGGTGTGTTCTATATTCATGCAAGCTCCATTAATATGACCTGTACAGTGCGACAGATCATTCACAGAGATGCAGATGGTCCCATTACCACCAATGACATCTGTTGTGTGTTTCCCAGTAACTACTTGCAAACACCTCCAGGAACATTGTACATACTCAGCCTAGTCTAGCAGCCTGGTTATCCAAGATACCGAAATCTAAGCCTGTAGAGTATTGAGAGCTTGGGTCACAAAACAAACATGTCCAAACCCATACTGTGCTAGGTTAGCAAAATGGTTACACAGTTGCCACCTCACGCTTGCAGTACTGTGACAACAGACATTCTAATGTATCTTTGCTATTGTTACTTTCAGCAGAATGATTTAAGGTTGCATCCCATGTCCTCCTTGCCAGCCTTCTTATGTTAGCGTTCCAGGTGGCAATTGCTCCCCTTCCTTCTTGTCAGCCCTTCCATGAGAAAGTCCCGGGCACACCATAGATTATTTGCTGCAGTGGCACAATTTTACTGTGCAGAGTTGACTCATGAAACCCCCTGAAGAGGTCCTAAGAAATGTGTTTACTTAATTCATTTTACTAAATATAATATTGCAGTTTAAAAAAAAAATGGATCAGTGATCTAATTTTATAATTTAAGAGTGGGCCCACAAGCTAATGATCGGAACATAATTTGAGTCCCTATCAAGAAAACAACCACTGATCTAACCTCTCATGTATTATTATGAACAAAACAAACTACTTTTAGTTAATATTTACTGCAATAATAATAAAAATACATTATTATTAATAATAAGGCTTGTTAGGTGGCCACACAGATAACCATTCGCAATATGAAAGTATGTATCTTCATAAAAGTTCATTGTTGCATAATTTTATATCAAATAACAAAATATAATGTAATCTCACAAAACCATTGGTCTATTTTCCTGATGTTTACAAATTTCCATTCATGATGCATTTAAAGGAACACTGCAATCACATAAAGCCCTTCAGATTTTAATAAAACCTTCAATTTGCCGTGTTACACTACCTCAGCTCTCAGTCAGACTAATGGTGCTACTTCCT